TCATTAGCTGTAGATCTTGGCAGCTGCCAGGAGGGAGTGAATGGGAAGAGGGAGAGGAGGCAGTCAAGTCCTCTGAGGGAGGGACTGAGGAAGCTGGTTTGTCTGGCACTCGAGACAGGTTAGGAAGGACTCCAGAGAAAGACAGAATATTCAGTGTCAGGCACACATGCTAAGGATCTGGCTAGTTATCCAAAAAAATAAATAAAAATCAGGCAGGCCCAGTGGAGACTGGCAAGCAGCTGCAAGACTCATGTCTCTTCATGGCAGCCAACGTTCCCTCTGGAGGCGAAGCTTCCCACAAGAATGGACAGCGAAGGTGGCTCCTACAGCCAGGCATGCTGGCAATGATGTCAGGACTTAGAAATGATAAGGAATGCCCTTAGGGAGAAGGCAAGGCTTTTGAAACCCCAGCCTCAAAATCAATCTGACCACTCAATGGGCACTACAAAGGGAGAATACAGTCACCCCCCAGTATTTGTGAGGGAATGTTTGGATACTCAAGGCCTTCATATAGGTGTGATATCTGTGTGTCATCTATGTACACCCTCTCATGAACTTCAGATCCTCTTAGAATTGTTTGTAATTCCCACTAAGTGTAAATGCTAGGCAAATAGTTGCCGTACATGCCTAGGGAGTGATGCCCACCCCTCAAGAAAGTGTGTATATGTTCAGTACAATGTGTGGCTGGGGAGGGTGCTGGGGACAGAACTCAAGCCTTGTATAACTAAGCACACATTCTATCACTGTGCTGTGGTCCCTGCCTTTCTAGTACTTTTGTCTGCACGTGAACTCACAGATGTGGAAAAGCTCAATCCTAAACGTCCACAATGTCCGTCATGTTTAGATATAAAATCCCAGACCAAGTGTTGGTGGCGCACACCTTTAATCCCAGCACTTGGGAGGCAGAGGCAGGTGGATCTCTGTGAGTTCGAGGCCAGCCTGGTCTACAGAGTGAGTGCCAGACAGCCTCCAAAGCTACAGAGAGAAACCCTGTCTTGAAAAACAACAACAACAAAAAAATGATATGAAGTACCCACATGTGTTGAAGACCTGGTGCCCAAGCACCAGTGTTCAGAGCTAGGGCTTCTGGGAAATGAATGGATCAAGAAGGCTATGACCTCTCAAAGGACTGATCCACTGATAATTTGTAATTTGCAGCACTATTGGGAGGTCACAGAAACTTTAGGCAGTAGGGCATAGTTGAAGAATGTAGGTCACTGAGGCATTCTTTGAAGGATGTTCCATGACCTTGTCCCTTGTCAGAAGCCCCTTCTGCTTCCCAGATGCAGGTGAGCAGCTTGCACCATCATGCAACAGTTACAGCAACTGGGGACTATTACCTCTGAAGCCACGACTCACAGTGGTTCTCTTTTTAGGGTACTTCTCTTGGAAAGCCTGTCACAGGAACCAAAACACTGATAAACACACTAACTGGGCCTTCCTGAGTCAACTTCATCATCAGAAAAGGCACAATGCTACTGCATCTAGGTTGTTCTAAGGATGCAATGCCAACCCAGCGCCAAGCAATAGCCATTGATTACTGGTGCTATCAATTCTTAGCCACAAGCAACAGCCAGAGCAGCCAGAATCAACTTTTCCTTTTTCTTTTTTAACTATATGTGTATGTGTGTGTGCACATGTGCCTTTATGCCTGGCACCCACAGAGACCAGGAAAGGACATCAGATACCCTGGTACTGAAGCTATAGGCAGTTGGGAGTCACCTGACATAGCTGCTGGGAATCAAATTTGGGTGCTCTGCAAAAACAATAAATGCTCTAACCTACTGAGCCATCTCTCCAGCCCAGGAATTAACTTTTTAAATTCAACTATCCATCAACACAAAAATTTTTCCATATTTTCTCTCTCTGTGTGTGTGGGGGGAGCACGCATGCCATAGCAAGCATGTGGAAGTCAGAGGACAATAGTGAGAGTTTGTTCTCTCCTTTTCACCACTGGGTTTCTGGGATCAAATTCAGGTCATCAGAAGTCACAGCCATAGTCATCTTGCCTGCACAAACATTTAAGATTTTACATAAGAACAGGTGCAGCTGTTATGTAGGAACACACTCATCTGATATTCACAGGACAAATGCCTCTTGGGAAATGGACAGCACAATGATGAAGCCAGCCTGGTCTACAGAGTGAGTGCCAGACAGCCTCCAAAGCTACAGAGAGAAATCCTGTCTTGAAAAACAACAACAACAACAAAATGATATGAAGTACCCACATGTGTTGAAGACCTGGTGCCCAAGCAGGGCACACACACCCCCTTACACACATACACTGTACAGACACACACATGTGCACACATATATACTACATAGACACAAGAATCCTGCACACACACACTACACAGACACACACTGCACATATATGTGAAGATTGAGCAGATCCACGCAACTAATATTGGGGGAAGGGGTCTAGATATTTATTTGTAGAGAGAGCAATCACTTACATGAAAAGCCAGGTCAGCTCTCTATGGTCTCTGAACTGCGGCCAGGATCCAAGAGAGCAAGCACCCCCTCCTCTACCATCTCTTATCCCCTGAATCTTCCCATGTACACCTGCAGGTACGTGATCTCTCCCCACATACATGCACACATACACATATACACACTGCACAGACATACATACTCTAGTGCTCGCACATGACACACTGCACACATATGCACATGCACACACACTGCATACACACTACATACTGCACAGACATACCATGCACACATATGCATGTGCACACACATACACACATATACGCACACTGCATAGACACACACTGCACACACATTACACACACTGTTCATATGCACATGCCCATGCATGCACACACTGCACAGAGAAGTCAAGCTGGTTAGGCTGGGTTGAGCACTTCTTTTTTTTTTTTTTTTTTCTTTTTGATTTTCGAGACAGGGTTTCTCCGAGGCTTTTGGACGCTGTCCTGGAACTAGCTCTTGTAGACCAGGCTGGCCTCAAACTCACAGAGATCCGCCTACCTCTGCCTCCAGAGTACTGGGATTAAAGGCGTGCGCCACCAACGCCCGGCTGAGCACTTCTTAATCAACTCTGCATCCCAGTCCAGACCAGGAACAACCCCTGGACACAAGTTTTGTATTTTTAAGACTCACCAGTTTACAGCACTCTATTTGGGTTTGTTTTTTGTTTGTTTGTTTGTTTGTTTTTGAGACAGGGTCTCAATGTAGCCCAAACTAGTTTTGAACTTACTATCTCGCCAAAACAACCTTAAATGTATAATCCTCCTGCCTCTGCTTCCCACAGACAGGGACCCCCACACTCAGCTTTCCTGTTATTCTTTTGAAGGTGAAGTTTACTGAAAACGCAAACCCTCAGCAGGGTGCGGTGTGCACATCTGTGGTCCTAGCACTGGGAGACTGAAGCAAGGGAAGGCAGAGATCCAGCCAAGCAAACACTCTCATCTGTTCACATCACTTTTACACTGGAGCCCTAGGTGGGGATCTGAAATCACCAAGATGAGTTTACAAGCCTTCCAGGCACTTCTGATGCAAGTAGACCCTAGATCCCAAAATGAGAATCCCTGTTCTGACAGAGAGTAGATCCCTTATCAGACCTTAATCCTTAGTAAGGACATTACATTTCATTTATGTGTCTGTGTGTCTATAGGTGCACACACACCATGGCAGATGTGACAGTCAGAGAACAGCTTGCAGGAGTTGCTTCTCTCCTTCCACCATGTGGCTCTGAGGATGGGTCATCAGGTGTGGTGGCAGGGCATCTTATGGGCCCTATATACATAATTTTTAAATTGCTACATATGCATGCATTTCCTGCCTAAAGAAAATCCCATGTGAATATCATTTTTTGCTTCTTTGCTATGCTTGTGGTGCTGGGATTGCACACAGGGTCTCATAGATGCTAGGTAAGCACATTAACGATGGGCCATATATTCAGGTCTCTTTACATCTTTTTTTCTCTCTGTGACAGGGGCCAAGCTGCCCTGTAACTCAGCTTTGCCTCTGTCTTGGGATTAAAGGTGTGTGCCACCACTGCCCAGCAATCACCTATTTTCTAACATTGAATATTTAGGTTTCTCAGTTTTCACAACTGTAAATCATCATGGAAATAACTTTATCTAGAAAGGTAGTTCGCCGGGTGTTGGTGGCGAACGCCTTTAATCCCAGTACTCCAGAGGCAGAGGCAGGCAGATCTCTGTGAGTCCGAGGCCAGCCTGATCTACAGAGCAAATGCCAGGACAGGCTCCAAAGCTACACAGAGAAACCTTGTCTCAAAAAACAAAAAAAACAAAAAAAAAGGAAAGAAAGAAAGAAAAAAGAAAAGTAGTTCAAGTAGAACAGATTCATAGAAGGAGACTAAAGGAAATTAGAAGCATGTGGATAGGCAGTGGCTGCACATCCACTGTGGAACTAACTGTCACTGCCTCTCCAATCACAAAGTCAGACACAGCAGCATCCACTTCTTGGCATCTTTTCCTGAATGATAAAGTGGTTGTGAAAATTACCTATTAGCAGAGCATGGTGGCACCTGTCTGTAGACCCACTACTGGGAAAGCGAAAGCAGGAAGAGGTTGAGTCCATGAACAGTGTGAGGGGGAGGAGTGAGATGATTCAGCAGGTAGAAGTATTTGCAACCAAAGCCTGCCCACCTGACTTTGACCCCAGATTCCAAGATGGAACGAGAGAACCAACACCCAAAGTTGCTGATATCCACACACGTATCATGCCGTGTGAGCACTTGCACTCACACATACTAAAATCAATAAATAAATAAATTTTGAGACAGGCAATGTTGGCACACGCCTTTAATCCCAGCACTTGGGAGGCAGATGCAGGCAGATCTCCGTGAGTTCAGGGCCAGCCTGGTCTAACGAAGTGAATTTTTTGAAAGCACAGCATGGGCTACGTAGTGAAACCACGTCTCAAAAGGACAGGTAAAAAAAAAGATTTTTTTAAGAAAGAGGAGGAGGAGGACAACAGTGAGGAAGACAAAGAAGTGACACACTTACCTGCTGTCAGAGTCTGAAGCGATCTCCTTTCTCCCTCCAAAGCGAATCTGGCACTGCACAGAGAAAGACACCGCTAAGATCAGCTACTAGGCCGGGACAGTAAACGTCACAGAACAGTCCACAAGGCCTTCAGATACAGCAGGGACAGAGGCCCCAGTGCTTCAAGGATGTAAGAAATCAACACTATAGCCTCAGCCTCCCCTTACAGCAAGCCTAGACTCCCTCTTGACCCAGGAAGTAGGCAAACTAGGCAGACAGGAACACAGGTGCCTACGGTTACCCAGGGAGCAGCAGCTGGCATCACAGAGCTCTCTGAGAGCCTCCAGGCCTGTGCCAATAACTTTTCTTGACAGAGCCCCAAAGTGATTAGATTGTGTCAAATGACACCTTGGCTGTGCTGAGCAGTTCTGCCAAACTGACTGGATGGGAAAGTCACCTTTTTAAAAACAGACACTAAGGGCAGGAGAGATGGCTCAGAGGTTAAGAGCACTGCCTGCTCTTCCAGAGGTCCTGAGTTCAATTTCCAACAACCACATGGTGACTCACAACCATCTGTAATGAGATCTGGTGCCCCCTTCTGGCCTGCAAGGACACATGCAGGCAGAACACTGTATTCATAATAAATAAATCTTAAAAAAAAGACACTATAATGCCTAGGATTAAAAATTACATATAATAAAAAAGGATACTGTTATCAGAATTTGAGACACGGTGGTATATTTTAATTGTGGGTAAATGATTTATCAACAAATTTGGTTATGTTTTAAGATAAATGTCACATTCAACTCAACGGAACTCAGACGCTCTGATCAGAAACCCCAATCTGTTTCTGATTAAGTGCTACATATAAAGTCACTAAACTCACTCCCTTGTCTTGCTGTCTTTGTGTTCTGGATTAACTACAGACCAAACTCTACCTGTGTTAACAAATGTGATTCATCCAGCACCCCCATGCAGAGGAAAAGCCAGATTCCAGGCAAGAGATGCCTTTAGGTCTATAAACACCATGACCACAGGGCGGTGGTGGTGCACGCCTTTAATCCCAGCACTCGGGAGGCAGAGGCAGGCGGATCTCTGTGAGTTCGAGGCCAGGCTGGACCAACAGCCTCCAAAATAATACAGAGAAACCCTATCTCGTAAAAACCAAACAAAAAACAAAAACAAAAAAACACCATGACCAAAGCTACTTGGGCAAGACATGTCCACATCATAGGCAATCATCAAGAGAAATCCATGCAGAAAACTGAGGTAGGGCTGGGCATTGGTGGTGCATACCTTTAATCCCAGCACTGGGGAGGCAGAGGCAGGTGGATCTCTGTGAGTTCAAGGCCAGCATGGTCTACAGAGAGAGTTCCAGGACAGCCTCCAAAACAATACAGAGAAACCCTGTCCCGAAAAACAAAACAAACAAAAATAAAAACAAACAAGCAAACAAAAACTGCTGAGGTAGGAACTGAAGCAGAAGCCATGGAAAACACTGTTTACTTGCTTACTCCACATGGCTTGTTCAACCTTTCTTATAGCTCCAGAACCTCCTGCCCAGGGTTGGTATCTGCCCCTGTGAGCTGGGCCCTCCTACATCAATCATTAATTAAGAAAATGCCCTACAGAGTTGTCTGTAGTCCGTCTGATGGAGGCATGTTCTCACCTGAGGTTCTCTTCCCAGATGATTCTAGCTTGTGTCAAGCTAACAAAAATCTAACCAGCATAGGATTCAGAAAGGACAGACAAGTCTGGTAGCTGAAAAGACGTGGAACTCCCTCAACCTATTCACCACACTAGGCTCCCTCAAGTTTCAGGCAGACACTAAATTCTCTGGGCCCACTTCAACATTTAACCCACAACATTCTAAACTATCTCCCTCCTTATAATCAACCATATGTAAACAACAGTCAATAGTCCCTTCCAAGAGGGGCTCTTCAAATTCTCAAGTTTGGGTCCTCTCTCAATTACTAATGACAGCTTAGGTGAGTTACTGATCTCTGAGCTTCACTTCAGTGTCTTGGTCTATAAGTTCAAAACAATCACAGGAATTCCTCCATCAGTGGTCAGAAGAAATCTCTGTAAAGCGCTTACAGAGAGCCAGGCACAAGGTGGACATGTGATGACAGCTAGCATTACAGTATCACACAAGCCAGCACCACCATCAGCATCAACAGCCACATATCAGGGTGTTTGCACTTTGGGGGTCATCACTGCAAGCCAGCACCTGTGAAGAGCTGTCCTAAAACAAATCTGCTGGGAAATCAACTCTGAAATGAAGACAGTCATTGCTGAAAGATAGAGCTCCCCTCAGAACTTTGAAACTCCACACCAGTAACTTCCTCTATCTGTCATTCCCTAGGGAAACTCTCTGTTTAGCCATTCTCAGATAAGCTGGACACAGTGGCACACACCTGTAATCCCAGCAGTTGGGAGGCTGAGGAGAGCTCAAGGTCAGCCTCGGCTACACAGTGAGTACAGTGCCATCCTGTGCAATCTCTGATACCTAGTCTCAAAACAAGAAAACATAAAACCATTCCCAGTTACAAAATAAGCCTGTGCACACAAGGGAAGAAATGACTTCTAGGTCACCTTTTGGATATTCACACAACAGGTTGGTGTGTGCATTCTTACCTGCTTTACTGCATCCAGCAATCGCTCCAGCAGGAATTGCCTTTTGTCATCGTTCTGTGACCCTGAAATGAAATGGGATCTAATTACTTCTGTTAGACAATTACACTCTGATTAAGACTTTCTGGCATGTGATGTCGAGCATAGTGGCACAGGCCTGTAATCTCAGCAGTTAGGAGGCAGAGGCAGGAGGATCTCTGTGAGTTTGAGACCAGCCTGGTCTACACAAGCAAATTCCAGGACAGCCAAGGCAATAAAGAGAGACCTTGTCTCAAAAGAAAAAAAGATTTTCTGATATCTGACATGAAAATACATGGCTGTCCACAAGCAAGACCAGTCCTCTCTATTCATCTTTAGCAAATAAGTAGAAAAACTGTGATCTACTGATACTGCAGGAAACTTAGTGATGTCCTTGGCCTCTACTCACTGGATACCATTAGCTCACAGACACAGACACACACACACACACAAACACACACACAAGCTGGCTTCATACACAGTTAAATGTGTTCTGGAGGGTAGGGCTGCCCCTATCCTTGACAGCCAGGAGTATAAAGTAGCAATGTAAGTTGCCTAGAACGATAGACACTGTCCTTGCGTGGTTGTATTTCCTTTTTCCCTGCCATCAGCTAGACAGGCTGGAAAACCAGTTGCTAACTTCCTCAGTCATTGCTGACCCTACAGAGTTGGCCAATGATGATGTCTGGGAATGTGGCCCAGTTGACAGAAGGGTGGCCTAACATGCATGGGCCCTGAATTCAGCACTTCATGAACCAAAAATGTAGACACACCTGTAATCCCAGTTATTGGAGGGTGGAAGCAGGATAATCGGGAGTTCAAGGTCATCCTCCGTTACAAAGGGACTTTAGGGTCAGCCTAGATTACCTGAGACCCTGTCTCAAAAATAAACATTAACAGCTAAGATTCTGCCTTCACCTGCACACTAATTGGTATGAGTGTCGTTTTGATAGAAGACATTGCCCCTCCAGATCATGATGCCTGCCTTCCTCCAAGCCTGAAGATAAAATGAAGAACTCGGGAAAACAATTCCTTTTTCTGAAAGAGACTTTGATGAGGTCAAGCCTACACTGGATTCTCAGGCCCCAGCACATCCTTCACACCTGTGCCTCTCCGTAGTCCTCCCTTCACTTAGCAGAAGGGTTAGTTTCTGCTCCTCCCTCCTCACCCCAAATGGAAAGTACAGCTTTCTTCCTTCCTTTTTCCAAAAACTAGACTCAACAACTCCTCACACTGGGCAGTAACAACCAGAAAGGACAGCTTCACCCTGGAAATGCTTCTACCATTTTTCTCATCATAACAGAAACGTATGTGACTAAAATACAATAAAAACAAATCAGAAAAAAAGAAAAGAATTTCTACTATGTCACTGGACAGGCACTCTACTAGCCTGCTACATACGCAGCCACTACTACTAATCTGTGAGGAGTAGGGCCCTGTGTGCACTGGGGAGGGTGTGCGTGTTTGTGCATGTGTAGGTAAAAGTGTGTGCATATGCATTCAGACACTAGAGGTCAACCTCGGGTTTCATTCCTCAGGAGTCATCTACCAGGGCTTGTTTATTTGTTTTTGTTTTGAGCAGGGTCTCCCACTGGACCACAGGTCTCAGGATAGGTTGGCCATCCAGGGATCATCAAGGATCCACCTGTCTCTCTGCCTCCCCAGTGCTTAGATTATGAGTATATGCAACCACACCTGGCTTATTTACATGGGTACTAGGTCTCAGAACCCAGGTCTTTATGTGCCCAGTGAAAAGTCACCCTAAAGGCTCTCAGCCTAGCAGCTGGCTCCCTGGCTGTGATCTCCACCATCATGGATCCCAGTGAGACTATCGGCCTCAGCAAGGCACCCGTGGTTGTCTTATCCCTGAACAAACATGGGGAGAGAGTCTCCAAGATGCAGGATGTACAGGTAGCTCAAAGGCCACATATCAGCAGTGGGAAGTACAGAGAGAGGCCCCTGGCTGTGAAGGGAAGAATGGTCATCAGGAAGTCACAAGACTTAAGTCCTCATCCTAGCCAGGCCACTTGCTGGCCCTGTGACAGAGGAGTCACTTCCCTTCTCTGGCCACTGGTTAGCCCTGCAGTATGCAGACAGAGAGGCCCTTCACAAACTGGCAGGCAGAAACACAAGGTGCTTTCTCACCTTCTCCAGAGACAAACCAGAGAATGCAGCACACACCAAAGCCATTGACCAAAATGGGGAATGGGCTCCAATCAAGAGGCAGAGTGAGGCTGGGGGAGAAGGCAGTTACGCTGGCACCACACCTGTCTGCAGAGCACCTGCAATAATAGCCATGGCAAACCCTGAGCCGTCTCTCAGTTACACTCCAGAGATGAACCCTAGTCTTCCTGCTATCTCCAGGGATAGTATCAGCTAACAGCTAAGGAGCTAGAATAAGCTTCCTTATGTCTTCTTAGATTACCATCAAAATTAAGGTCTCAAAATGAAGGGACTCAGCTCAGTGACAGAACACATGTTGTGCAGGAAAGGCTCTGGGTTCCACCCCCAGCACTCCAGAGAATGTCCACACAAGACGTCACAAGTTCATGTGAAATGCCACAACCCAGTTCAAATGGCACCCTGTCGCCTTTCCTTGTCCCTGTCCTTAGGAGGTAACATTTAATTTAGTGTTTAGATTCCCATAAGGAGAAAGGAAAGCAGGGAGCAGAGCGGGAGGAAGGGAGAGCTGGCTAAGTCTCAAGAACAATCCAAATTCCAAGCTGTGTGCTACATGAAAAATGATGGCTTACTGGAGGATTGTGCAGTCCATAGCAGTGACCAATGTGCAGTACATGGAGCAAGGTTTTAACTGGAAATATTAGACCTGAAAGCAAAATGAAACTTCTATGATAAAATGAGCCACAGCACAGTCCTCCAGTCTTTAAATATCTTCATTTTAGGATCCTTTAGACATTTTTCTTAACCACCCTCTTTATGGTATTTCCCCCACTTTGAAACAGTCTCACTATGTAGCCCTAGCTGGCCTGAAACTTGCTACATAGCCAAGCTGGCCTCAACTCACAGAGCTCCTTCTGCCTCTACCTTCCAACTGCTGGAATTAAAAGTGTGCCCCTACACCCAGCTTTAGCTCCAAATGTCCAGAGTGCTAAGAACTTGACTCATAGTAGGCATTCAGAACCTAACCACACAGCAGCAGAAGTGGTCAGAGGCATTAGTCTGGGTCACTGACTACAAAGATGTTACAGCACTTCTGACACTAGAACACTAACATTCTACCATAATACACCAGCCCTGTGACAGCATGAAGAAGAAAGATATTAATAGCTTTTGAATGAAAACCACATTCTTTTTCCAGTCACTGTTTCAGCTGACTCTTTATTCCAAGAACAAGTCCACTTCTGAATAGGACCCAGTCAACAGCCAAGGAGAGAACTGTGCCCTTCAACCTTCCATAAAATAAGAAACTGCCAAGATATAAACACATTTGATGAAGAGAGCAGCAGTCAGGCTCAGTGACTTCTCAAGCCCTGGCTTTCCCTACCCTTCAAACAGGGATGCCAGCATTTTTCTAGGGTGAGGTTTCCTGAGAGGGTAGTTACTGGTGGGACAGTGCCAAGGCTTCCACATGAAGAGTCCTGAGACAATGGCTACTGATGGACAAGAGCACCAGGGCTTCCCCTCAGGGACTTCTGAGAGGACAGTTTCTGACGGAAGATTGTCAAGGCTTCCATGCATAGTTGGACAAAAAGAAGTGCTTGAGAACAATAATAGACTCTTCTTTTCCTGGTAAGAGCAAGCAAGCTACTAGAAACCGGAATACCTCAGCTTCTAAAGGCCAGCAGTAGATGGTTCCTACTACTGAATTCTCCAGGAAAACATTTGACCAGGCCCTCCCTAAGAGTTGCCCACACAGGTCTGCCAGATAGGTATCTTTCCACCTAGCATTCTGTTTATTTCTACAGGCAAATGTAAATCTATAATGGCTGTGTTGGGTGCACATGTTAATTTGCATCAAGGCACGTATTTTACATGTTTTGTTTTGTTTTCCTTTTGAGACAGGTTCTCATGTAACCAAGGTTGTCTTCGAACTCTCTATGTGGCAAAGGGTGCCCTTGAACTCCTGATCCTCCTGCCTCCACCTCCTGAGTTCTGGGATCACAGGTGTGCAGCACCATGTCCACTTTCTGCAGGGCTGGAGATGGAAGGCAGGGTTTCATGCATGCTAGGCAAGCACTCAACCAACTGAGCCACAGCATCCTCAGCTCCATCCTTCTAGCAGAGCATTGATTCAACTGGCGTAGACAAGCTGACTTGTGAATAAGGCCATGCTTTTCTTCTTAGCTACTCTGAGGCTTTTCCTATCATGAGGCCATAACACTGGGTGTTTACACAGTCCCCACCAATGGGCATCTTCATTGTTTGGGCCTGGTAATAAATGTTTGTCTCTTGTGTGCATTATCCAGGTCCATTACACTTCCCTGGATATTTGCATGTAATGTTCTCAGCCTTGAACCCATCTTATCTCTACTTCTACTCAAGCATTTAAATTCAAGAATAGAGCAGAGCCAATGGCTAATTTATAGAATATGCAAGAAATTGAAAAACATGTAAAGCCACACCAAGAGGAAGTGATCAGCAAAATCCTTACAAAGACTCCACAGGACAAAAAATCATGTTTCCTTCAAAGACAACTGCAGCCAACCTGTGGGAGGGAACTCTGAGCAGATGTCCCTGGAGAGGTGGAGGCAGAAGGAGCTCAAGGTAGTAATATCTGGACTTTGTGGTCCACCTGGGTTACACAGCAAGATACAGTCTTCAAAGCTGACTGCGGGGTCAGACAAAATGACTCAGAGAGTGAAGGTGCTTGTTGTTCAAGTCTGGAGAACTGAGGCTGATCTCCAGGACCCATGTAACAGTGAATGGAGAAAATTAACTCCACAAAGTTGTTCTCAGATCTCCACATGTGCACCATGACACTTACACACACACACACACACACACACACACACACACACACACACACTTTTTTTTTAAGTCACTGTGAAGTCTGAGGGCATGGCTTGGTCAGTAAAGTGGTTACTGT